GACAGCTGCCTGGGGCCCACTTCCTGGCTGTGTCTGCCTCCCCCCCCCCCCCCCCGCCCCCAGTCAGGTGTCTGTAGCGGTGGAGCCCTGGCCCACCTCCCGACCTCGGGAGCACCCGGGTGGGGAGGAGGGGGGCCGCGCTGACGTGCCCTGCGGTGCGGGCACGCTGTCTGGTGCAGGAAGCTGGGTCCTGGCACTGGTAACACGTGCAAAGTGACTGTGGCAGAGAGAGTCACTCTTCCCCTCCGGCGAGGTGGGGGGGGGGGGTTCTCTCAAGGCTGAGCTAGGAGGCCTGGGATCCGAGGATTACGGGCCTGAGGATGCACCATGGCCATGGGTGTGGTCGAGTTTCTGGTCTTGCTTTTACGCTCTGCGCCCCCTGGATACACACACAGCCGTGGGGCCCGGGCCCTGGAGTGTGCAGGTGCTACAGAGGAGGGGGCCGGGCTGGACGCCTGACTGGAGCCGCTGAGGCTCCTCTGGGTGGGCAGCGGGCTGTTGGCCTCAGGGACGATTGCTCAAAAGCTGTCCTCTGCTTTTCTTGCTCCCTAAAAGCCCGTCTGGCCCTGCAGAGGGGTTTCCCGGGAAGCCCACGCGTGGAGAGTCGGGACATCTGTGCCTCGCCCCATTGGCCACTGAGCCTGCACAGCTGTACTGGCAGGTCTGATCTCGGCTCCCGTGAGGCTGGGGTGGGGGTTGGGGGGTGGCACAGGGTGAGCCCCGGGGACTGACCCCAGCCAGGGCGTCAGGAGTGGGGGGGGGGAGCCCTGGAGCCTCGCCGTACCCCCAGGCGCCTGCTGGGGTGCGGAACAGGGGTGAGGGAGGCAGCCAGCCCCCCCAGCAGCCTGGATGGTGGGCCTACCTCGAGCGGCCTGCTCGGGCAGCCTCCGCGGCCCCTCACCAGGCCAGGGGACCGGACGGCCGCTGTTGCCCACTTGCAGGGCCCGGCTGCTGGGTAGATGGGAATATCTGTCCCCATGGTGATGGATCAAGGCTATGGCCTGGCCTGCTTGGCCTGCAGAATGGCCACCCCAGACAGCTGGCGGGTAGGGCTGCTTCTCAGGAGAACGCGGACCGGTGCCTCCTGAGTCGCCCCAAACCGGTGACTGTGTTTAAGGGGTGGGGCAGCACCCAAGGCCCGTCCAGGCCGTCGGCCTCCAGGCGGGGGGCTCCTGTCTCCTTGCTGTCTGATGGCTCGCGGGGCCCTCCTGGGAATTCAGGGTGGCTAGCCTATTGGGGAGAGGCTGTGGGGCCCCAAACCACCGGTGACTTCAGGCAGGTGGGTCCCAGACCCGTGTTGGGGGGGAGGTGGGGGTCCATGTCCCAACAGCAGGGAAGTATTGTCTGGCCTGGGGACACCGGGTCTTCCTGGGTCCCCCAGCCCCCCCCAGAAGGCAGCACCCACCCCGGGTGAGGGGGCGCGGGGGAAGAAGCAGGCATGTCCCCCACCTAGAGTTTCCCGTGTGGCCCTTAGAGCACCAGGTGGGCGCCCTGCTGGGGCTCGGTGTGGACCGTGCTTCCAATGTGAAGACAGACCCCCAGCTCGGGAGATAGCTGAGGAGGTGGGGAGGGGTCCCCTGGGCTGGGATGAGTCCCACTGCCTCGGCAGGAGGGAGGTCGGGCCAGGGAGACACAGGTGAGGTCCAGGTGGAGGCGTCAAAGGCTTGGGGTGCATCACACAGGGTCAGGGGTCAGATCAGGAGGGGCCCTCTGTGCTGTGGGCAGAGTGGGGGTTCCAACACGGATCCGGGGTGGACTCGGGCCTCCGGGGGCGGCGTGCGAGCCCCAGACCGGGTCAGGGTTCTTCACGCCTCTGTGCCGAGCCCCCCCCCCCCCACCTGCTTGCCTGCCCCTGGGAGGTCACTTCTGTCTTGAGGCCCTTCAGTGCCACCCTGTCTTCTGGGTCTTTCCATGGCATCTCCACAGGCCCAAGCGGCCTGTCTAACGTCAGCCCTCCCCACAGCCCTGGGAAGTAGGCGCCCCAGGACCCCCACTTTACAGACCAGGACCCTCACTCTACAGACGAGGACACTCGGACGTTGGCACGGTTGTGGGGCCCACCGGGGTCACCGCCTGCGTGTTGGGGATGCCGTATCCTGCCGTCCTGTGGGGGAGAGGGGCCCTCAGTGGCCTCTGTCCCGGCGCAGGGCTCCCCTCGGGCAGCAGGGCCCCTTCCCTGTACCCCCAGTGGCTGACCCGGGGCCTGGCCCACAGGCTGTGTGGACCAGGGAGCAAAGGGGTCCAGGCACACGGGCCCCCGCCCCAGCACGGGCCGAGGTGGGGCAGCGCTGGCGGGCGCGGGTGGGGCTGGTGGGCGCAAGTGTGGGCCGAGGGCCCCAGCTGTGCCCAGCACATGTCACCGGGAGGCCCCAGAGCCCTCACCGCGGGCGCGCGGCTGGGAGCAGCTGGCCACGGGCAGCTCCTGAACAAAGGGTGCTTTGAGCGGCCTGCACGCCTGCTCTGTACTCTCCAGCCAGCTGACTGTCCCGGGAATGCGCAGGCCAGCTCCCCCTGCGGCTCATGGGGTCCCGCTTGGAGTCAGAACAGCTGGGCTGGCCCCTGTGCTGTAGGGACCACCGCCCCCCCCCCCCCCCCCGTGGGGACGCCTCCCGGCTCGTGGGAGGAGAGGAAGACCCTCACGCTGGTTGCCCATGGCCCCGCCCTGATGGGTGGCCTGGTCGGGTCCCCGTGTCCCCCCCGCCCCGTTCCAGGTCTCCGGGACCGCTTCTCCGCTGGCGAAATCCCGTTGACCCCGGGAAGTACGGGCATCCTGCCCCCTGTGGCGGTCCTCGGTGCGGGGCGGGGGTGGGGGGCAGGAGCCCCTGCAGAGCGGCCCCCACCCCCACCCCGGGGCTGCACCCCTAGTGGGCCACATCCAGCGCCCACAGGGCCACCGGGGAGGCAGCTGTGCTATTCGTCCTTGACCCTCATTCCTGCTCTTTGTCATTTCTCACCTGACAACCCGCGGGCCCCTGCACCCCACAGTCCCCGGCGCTTAATCCTTTGTGGTTCAGTCTCTATCTCTCTCCGAAATTTTTCATCATCGAGATAATAGAACAGTCACATCAGAGACCGCAGGGATCACAAGGATAAGGATCTGGGAGGCTGCCTTTCTGTTTAGCAAAAGAAGAAATATTTTCCGTCCCAAGAGTCGGGATGTGAGGTCGGCTAATCTAAGCGGGTTTAACCTTCAGGCCGTCTTGCTCTCTGTCACATGTGAGTGGTTCGTGGCGGGGACGTTCCCGGCGCTCCTAAGTCATGCGATGCCAGCAGCACTGAGCCTGAAAACACGCGGGGCCTTAGACGATCTTCCCGCTGATGAGGATGCAGAGTAGCTGATAAGGAACAACAGATAAGCCCAGCAGCGACCTTCATCCTTCTCGTCGTTCTACACGGTTACGAAACACTTGAGTAATCGCCAACCTTTTCCCCGTGTGCGCTCGCCGCGGGAGAAACCAGATGAGCCCCTGCTTTTCTGAACCTTTATCTACACTCTTGGGATTTGCAGAAATGCTGTCACAACAGTTCCCCCAAAACAGCGAGGGCAGGGGAGGGCCGGGGTGTCTGTCAGCAAAATGACAGGACTCCAGGCGAGGACCCCAGGGCCAAGTCCCGGGGGCGGTGAGCCCGTGCCGTGGGGCGTCCGAGGCAGGGCCCAGAGCCTCCCAGGGAGGGACCCCGAGCTTGTGCAGGGCCCCACGTGCCCTGTCAACCCCGCGATGAAACGGGGCGAGGGAGCGTTCAGAGACTCCGTGCTCACTGCCAGCCCCCTCCCCAGGTGGACCCTTTGCACGCTGCCTCCTCTGCTGTCCCCGGAGAAGGGGACCCGGCAGGGTGCCTGGCATCGTTCCGTGAGCTCCTCTGACACCGGGCTAGCAGCGGGTCCGTGAAGACGGGACCGTGAAGACGGGACCTTGTGCCCCAGGCCGACCACGCAGTGACTCTCCCAGCCCCAAGCGGGGTGACATTCGGGGCCCATCTTTCCACCCCGTGGGGCCGCCCCGAAGGTCCGCTGCGGGGCCCGCGGTGTGTCTGTTGTGGTCAAGCACACAGAGCACCACGTTCGCCATTTCCAAGGGCGCGGTCAGTGGCATTCAGTGCATTCACGGAGTTGGGCAACCACCACGCCCGTGTCGTTCCAGAACTCTCCCGCACCCCCCCCCCCCGGAGGAAAGCCCCTAACCGGGGGCCGCCGCTCCCCACTCCTCCCTCCTCCAGCCCCTGGCATCCACTAATCTTTCTTTTCACAAAATCATGGTGAAATACGCATACTATGCACTTTATCATATCTGTGTCGAGGTGCATGCAGAGCTCTGGGCGCTGAGCACGTTCACGCTGTTGTACAGCCGTCCCCACCCTCCGTCTCCAGAACTGTCCGTCTTCCCAAATAGAAACTCCGTCCCCATGAAGCACAGACCCCCAGCCCCGGCGCCCCCCGTGCCACTTTCTTTTTTTTTTTTTTTTTTCAACGTTTATTTATTTTTGGGACAGAGAGAGACAGAGCATGAACGGGCGAGGGGCAGAGAGAGAGGGAGACACAGAATCGGAAACAGGCTCCAGGCTCTGAGCCATCAGCCCAGAGCCCGACGCGGGACTCGAACTCACGGACCGCGAGATCGTGACCCGGCTGAAGTCGGACGCTTAACTGACTGCGCCACCCAGGCGCCCCGCCACTTTCTTTTTTAAGCAAAAACCCAGGGGCGCCCGGGTGGCTCCGTCGGTTGAGCGTCCGACTTCGGCTCAGGTCACGATCTCACAGTTCCTGAGTTCCAGCCCCACGTTGGGCCCTGTGCCGACAGCTGGGAGCCCGGAGCCTGCTTCGGATTCTGTGTCTCCCTCTTCCTCTCTGTCCCTCCCCTGCTCGCGTGCTGTCTCTCTCTCTCTCTCTCTCTCTCTCTCCCTCAAAAACAAATAGACATTAAAAGAAATTTGTTTTATTTCAATTTATTTGAAAAAGCAAAGCAGATCACTCATTTCTCACTGCGCCCCCCGCCCCCGCCCCCAGCAACCGTCAGTCTGTTCTCCGAACCCACGGGCTTGGTTTCGCGTGTATGTGCGGTTTCCACACGAGTGAAATCTGGGGCATTTGCCATTTGCCGTGGTGCCCTCGAGGTCCAGCTGTCGTTGCGGACGGCAGGGTTTCCTTCTCCTTCTGTGGGCAGCCTCCGGCCGCCGCCCTGCCTTGGCTGTCGTCAGTAACGCTGCAGTGAGCGTGGGGGTGCAGGTATCTTTTTGAATCAGCGTCTTCATCTTCCCTGGATAAATCCCCAGGACTGGAGTTCCTGGGTCTTACAGGAACTGTCACTTTCCGAGGCACCTCCACCTGGGCTCCATCCGTGGTGGCCACACCGGGTTGCGTTCCCTCCAGCGGCGCGCGAGGGCTCCCTTTCTCCACGTCCTCGCCGACACTTGTGGTTTCTTATCTTTTCTTGCTCGAGCCTTCGTGACAGGCGCGCGGCGCTATCTCACCGCGGTTCCGATCCGCGTCGCCCTGATGGCGAGCACCCTTCTGGGTGTCTGTGGGCCGTCACGTCTTCTCTAGAGAAATGTTTGCTCAAATTCCTCACCTATCTTCCAATTGGGTTCTTTGTTAGAACTTGTTTGTAGGATGATGCCGGATCACACCAGTAACACCGCTGAGGGCCACCCCTAACACCCAGCACCGGGGAGACCCACAGGAAGGGCCCAAGTCCGGCCCGAAACTCGCGGAATGACGCGGGTCAGGGTGGGGGGGCTAGTTGGACGCTTGGACCCGTGAGGTCCGTGTCTCAGCTTTGGCAGGTGGCAAATGCTTGGGTCTGTCCTCTGGTCTCAGCACCCGCCCTGGCCCACCGGCCCCTCGGCCATGAAGCTGGCACCGGCCGGGGTGGGAGGGGTCCCCCCATCCCTCTGGCTTGACTGTGGTCTCCGAGAGCTCCTCTCGGAGGACGGCCTCTGTCCTTGTATCTGCAGGGCAGAGCTCAGGGCCGCACGCCCTCAGCGTCCCGGCCTCCCGGCCTGCATCCTTGACCTGCTGCACACCTGGGGTCACACACGCACCACGTGGAGCTGGCCGAGAGGGCCCCTGGGCTGGCTGTGCTATCGGCGGGGGAGCCACGTGGCTTCCACAGGGGTGGTGGGTGCGGCTCCCAGGGGGTGGGGGGTATTGAGCTGGACCGAGGAAGGGTAAGGACCCAGAGTGGGGAGCTGGGGGGAGGGGAGCACCTGGGGTGTGGGCCTGCCGCGGGCCAATGGGAGGCTCTCAGGATAGGGTAGGGGGGTGGGGCCCTGGGAAGGGGGCCACAGACCCTGACCCTCTGGTGTGGAAAGTGGGGAGCGACAGCAGAGGCTTGAGCAGTGAGCCTGGGGGGAGGTGACAGCTGTTGGCAGGCTCTGGGCGCCCTTTAGTTCACCTTTGGGGCTTGCTTAGGGCCTGGAAAACAAAGACAGAAGAGTCTGGGGCCTGCTCCTGCCAGGGTGGAGAAAACTCAGGGCACAGAGGGTGGCCAGGGTGGGGGGGTCACCCTTCCCGGGTCTGGGCCACTGGGGCTGGAAGCTGGCCTCCCTTAGCCCGGAACTAATGAGCTTGCTGTGGTCCGGGGGGACGTCATACCTGAATCAGGGGTGACACCACGGGATGACAGAGGTCAGTCCTCCTGCAGGCTCCCCGCCACCGGTCTCTGCAAGTGGACGGTCGAGGCCAGTCACAGCCCCGCAGCAGCCTCCAGCCCTCCTGTGAAAACATTCCAAGGCCCCTGCTGGGCCACAGCCCCCGCCGGAGCCCAGGCCGGTGGACAGGTGGCTTCAAGAGAGAGCGGTGGGCCGGGCTGGCCAGCAAGCCTGCCCGTGGGGTGCTTGAGCCACGGCGAGCCCCCCGCAGCCCCAGCAGGCGGCACCCAGCTCTGAGGGCCTGGCTGTGGCCTTGACCCTGAGTGCCACCCCACCCAGCACTCCAGGCGAACATCCGTCCCACCGCCTCATGCCCGTCCCCATCCCCTCCCAGCGTGCGGGCAGCAGGGCACCTCGAGCTCAGCCCCGCCCGGGGCCTGGGCCTCGCTTACACACACGGTGAGCGCCCCATGCGGCCCGCCGGGCCTCGCGCTGCATTCCAAACTCAAACAGGATTTGAGGATTAGCGTTGCTTTAAATTATTCCTACACCTCACCCCTCCAGGGGGGAGTCCGTGTTCTCAGGCAGCCAGCCCTGGGAGAGCGGGGGTGGCTCCGGACCAGGTTCTCCCCACGAGTGAGACGAAGATGATTCGGGTCTCAGCGATCAGCAATCGCTGATAGTTCGTTATCTTGAGGTCTTTCAGAAGACGTTTCTTGTGCTTTGAGTCTACGCGGGGCACAGCTGTGGAAGGGATTTAAATGGTAAGAATTGCATGAAAACAAGAACGAAAACTATGGAATGACTGATAAGCCGGATGGTGTGTGGATGTGCAGGCAGAGCGTGGAGGGAGGCCCCGAGGACGGCTCTTCTGGGGACCCCCTAGTGGCCAGGTGACCCCTTCTCCACAAAGATGCCGGTGCCCGTGTCTCCACTTGGGGAACGCGGAGGTGACGGCCAAACCCTGGAGGCCCGTGGTGCGTTCAGACCTCGCCCATCACGGGCTCCTCCCGCCTGCCGGGACCCGGCAGGGCCGGGTTCTTGGGGGACACGTGAACAGGACGGAGCCTTGCGAGCGGGGGGGGGGGCCGTCGGCCCCGCTCTCTCGTTCGCCCGGTGGATCCACACTGAGCGCCAACCGGGGCAGGCCCTGGGTTGTGGGGCTGGGGAGCGGGGGATGGGCGGTGCACGTGGCCACTGCCCCCGTGAGGTCACACGACCCCCCCCCCCGAAGGATTCAGTGTTATGAACACAACTTTTTTGCAACAGGAAAGAGGTAAACTCTCCTAGGCTTCCCCCCGTATCTACTGAGCTTGCCCCCAACACTGGGGGCAGTGTCCCGCCACCCCCTCGTGGCGGGGAGGGCAGGGGTGCGCTACGGACCAGGGCCTGCCCTGTCACCCCGTGAGGCCCCCTGCCAGGGCCGGACTCCAGGGGCAGGAGGATCAGCATTGCCGTCTTCGTCCGGCTCCTTCCCCTGAGCCGGCGGTCTGGCCACTGACACGCCACGCCTTCCCCCCCGGACCCCATCGTGGTCCTGGCCTCCACGGTCGTCCTCCGCGTGGGCTCCAAGGGGCAGGTTTTTGGGCCACCCCAGGGCCCATCCCTGCTGGGGCAGGTGTCAGAACCTCCTTCCTTATAAGGCTGAGTGATACTCCCTCGTACAGATGGCCCCCATCAGGGTTTGGGGGGACAGCGCTGAATCTCTCCATCACTCTGGTGCCGGCAGCTTCTCTGCGGTCCAGGACGGGGGCTGTGCCTCCCTCCTTTCATTTCTTGGCATGATATCTTCAGGTTTCACCGCACCCGGCTTTTGCCTCCTTTGTTAACTCACAACTCCCGGATTCCTTCTGATGCGCCTGTAAACGGAATTGTTTGAGTCGTTTCTTTTAAAGACCGTTCGCGGTTGGTGGAAACGATACAGGCGACACAGAAATGCAGTTGCTTCGTGCTTCTTGACTCGCACCCGCCTCGCTGAATTCTGCAACCATCTACCCGGCGTGTTGTGTGTGCCTGTGTGATCTTTGCAGTTTTCTACACGTAAGTTCACATCCCCTGCGAGCAGAGATGGTTTTGCTTGTCCTTTCCGATTGCGATGGCTTTTGTCTCTCCTCCGCGCTCAGCTGCTCTGGCTGTGCTGTTTAGCACAGCGTCGAATGCGATGAAGGAAAAGCTCCCGTCGATGTAGCGTGTGCTGTGGGGTTTGCAGGTGTGGCTTTTATTACGTGCAGGCACTATCCCTGCGTTCCTGATTTCACTGGTTTTAGCAGGAAAAGGTGGGCAATTCTGTCACGTGCTTTATTCGCAGCGACTCAGGTCGTGCGTTTTTACCCCAGTCTGTTGACGTGACGGGTTGTAGCTGACCGGTCTCCCCACGCCGGGCCCCCCTTCCGACGTCAGTTCCACTCGGTCACAGTGTGTGATCTTTCCGACAGGCTACTGAGCTGGCTGCTAGTATTTTCTCGGGCGTTTCTGCACCGGTGCTCACAACGGAGGCCGATCTGGGCTCCTTGCTCCTTACGTGTAGCGTCCTTGTCTGGCTTCATTCTGGCCTCGCAGCACAAGGCAGGAAGTGTTCCCCTCTTCAGTGTTTTGGAGAAACTTGGGAGCGATCGGGGTTACTTCTCCAGATGTTTGGTAGGTTTCACCAGCGGAGCCGTCGGGTCCACGGCCTGTCTTTGTTGGGAGAGTTGTGCTCACCGGTGCGGTCTCCTCACTAGTTCTGGATCCGTCAGGATTTCCCGCCCCTCCTCATCCATCTGTCCATTTCACTACATTGTCGTTTGTTTCCCTTTGAACGTGGTCTTCATACTGTCTCTCTTCACTTGTCTGCCTCGCCACCTGTCCTCGGTAGCCTGGGTGTTAGCCCTCGGTGTCCCGGCGTCCCCTCCTCGAGGTGAGCTGACTGCAGACTGAGCCCTGGCCGTGGAGCGGCTCCGCCAGAGGTGTCCTCGAGGCCTCTGCCCTCCTCCTCCTCCTCCTCTTCCTGCCACCCACCTCCCTCCCCTGCCCTGGGGCGCTCCGGCTCCCGGGTCCCGGCAGAGCTGACAAGTGTCCCCGGATGCTGTGTCCTTGGTGGCGTGGTGGCTGTGAGGTGAACGAGGGACCATCTCACGAGGATGGATGCTCTCTGACACGCAACTCAGGATGCACGGCCTGAGCTCTGGGGGCTCGGTGGCTTAAACGAGTGCGGCTGGAGGACACGAGCCCAGGTCGTCACGTGCCTCGGGGCCAGGCGAGGACGCGAGACCTGAGCCGCTGCTGAGCCCGGGTGTGGATGTGGCCCGGCTGGGCCCCGGTCTGAAGAGCAGCAGGTGTCTGCTGGGGGGGGTGGGTCCGGCCTTGGGCCACTGGCCCGTCCCGGTGGGCTGCCTGCTTCGCCCCCCCCCCCCAGACCCAGGCCAGGACCCAGGCCGGCCGCTCTTGGGGGTCTCTGGGTAGAGGCCCCGGCTCACGCCCCTCTGCCCCGCAGGAGATTGTGCTGGTGGTGTTCTTTGGGACGGAATACGTGGTCCGCCTCTGGTCAGCAGGCTGCCGCAGCAAGTACGTGGGCATCTGGGGGCGGCTGCGCTTTGCCCGGAAGCCCATCTCCATCATCGGTGAGTTGTGCCTGCACCCAGGGGAGCTTCGCGCGAGGTTTCGGGGCGCGGGCTGGCACCCTCCCCAGAAAGGGGGACCCGGCAGCCTGGGAGCGGGGCTGGGAGGTGGGCCGGGTGGGCCCGTGTGCCTGAGACGGAGGGCCGCTCTCCCGTCCGAGTGGCCCTGTCCTCCTGACCTCCAGGCCCCTTCCCCCGAGCCAGCAGCCTGGCTGTTGACACGCCGCCCTTCCCCCCCCCAGACCTCATCGTGGTCCTGGCCTCCATGGTTGTCCTCTGCGTGGGCTCCAAAGGGCAGGTGTTCGCCACCTCGGCCATCAGGTACACCTGGGCCACAAGCTCTCCCGGCTGGGGGTGCGAGGGCCGCGGGGCAGCGTGCTGGGTGGGGGCACGCGCTCAGGCGCCACAGCGAGGTCGGCCGCCCGGGTTAGAGACCCAGCGAGAGCACCTCTGGGCCTGGGGCTGTGACCTCCCCCATCTGGGGGCCTCAGTTTGCCCATCTGTAAACCGGGGTGATCCCAGGGCCGTGCCCAGAAGGTGGTCTGGGGACCAAAGGGATTTGGAGGTGGACAGGTCCAGCTGGGGCCTGGCGTGTCCCCCCTACCCAGCCCTGACCCTGTGCTTGGGTGGGGGGCGGGGAGGCTGGCACGGCGGTGGGTGGGCAGACCCAGAGCCAGGCTTTGAGGGGCCGAGTGGGGGCCCGGGGCTGTTGCGAGGCGCCTGGGCTGGTGAGTCGGGGGCAGGGGCACAGAGGCGTCTCCCCCGCAGGGGCATCCGCTTCCTCCAGATCCTGAGGATGCTGCACGTTGACCGCCAGGGAGGCACCTGGAGGCTGCTGGGTTCTGTGGTGTTCATCCATCGCCAGGTGGGTGGTCTGGCTGGGGCGCGGGGGTCCCGGCTGTGGTGCGTGCATCCTGGCTGGCCGGGCGGACGATGTGCCCGTGTTCCTTCCAGCTGGGGACAAGAGGCTGGGGGCAGAGCTAGGGGCAGACGTGCAGGGTGGAGAGAGAATCTGAAAGAGGCAGGCGGGAACAGTCCCCCGACTGAAGACGGGCGCGTCACCACGGGTCTCGGGGCAGAGCCGGGCGGCCGGCGAGCCTGTGTAAGCCGGCCCGTCTGTCCAGGTGGCGGCCGGGGCCCGACCCTAGCCAGTGGGGAGATGGGTGGAGACGGGCCCCGCGTGGGCATGTGGACCACGTGGGATCCACGTGGAACCGTCTGGGACAGGCCGAGCTCGCACCGGGCAGGCCCCCGGCCTGTGCCGCCGGCCGGGAAGGTCACAGAGTCCTGGGCGGCCGTGAGTGCTCCGCTGACCCGCACCCCTGTGCCCGCACTGCCCCCAGGAGCTCATCACCACCTTGTACATCGGCTTCCTGGGTCTCATCTTCTCCTCGTACTTCGTGTACCTGGCCGAGAAGGACGCCGTGAACGAGTCAGGTCAAGTGGAGTTTGGCAGCTACGCGGATGCCCTGTGGTGGGGGGTGGTAAGTAGAGACAGACGTCCCGGGCAGCGGAGGGGAGGGAAGCCACCACGGGGGCCGAGGGCACTGCGGGCTCGGGCCACGGGCTCCTCACGCGAACGTGGGGAAGGGTGCCCGCGGGAAGGTTTGCGCTGGGAGCCGGCAGCGCGGGGGCCCTCGCTCCGAGGGGGGGACCCACAGTCGACCCTTCGTCTCCGGGCACGTGCCGGGGCCGGGCCCTCTGCTGTCCTTCACCCTGGTGGGGGGAGGCATGTGCCCTGCCGTCTGGGAGGGTTTGCGCTGGCCCCAGGACTATCCCTGCACCAAGGAGCGCCACGTTAAACGGCAAACAAGCACCGTGACATGAGGGCGGGGGGGCCTCCCGAGAAAGAAGTTCTCCCCTGTTCTGGCCGGGCCACCAGGCCTGCCTGCGGGTGCCGTAGCTAGGCCCAGCCCGGAGAGGTGCCGGTTCCCCCCAACAGGGCCCCCAGGCTCTCCTGGCTGTGGAGATGGGCTCCTTGGGTGCACTGAGGGCAGGGCCCGGCGCCCCAGTTCCACCTGTAAGTGGCCCTGCTGGGCTAGGCAGCTCTCGGCTCCCTGGGCTGCGAGGCTGCAGGAGAGGCGGTCACAAGGGAGAGGGCCCCACGGGGCGGGGGGCAGGCAGGGGTCCTGGTGGGTCAGCCTTGCAGGGGGCCAAAGGGACATTCTGCTGAGGACCAGTCATTGCTGTGGACAGCCAGGTGAGGCCTCAGCCAGCCACGTGCGCCCTGAGTCCTGGCCGCGTCCTCGCCGTGTGGGCCGTGGAGAGACTGTTCAGGGCATGAAAGGCGCCCCTGACCATACCCTCCACCCACAGCCTGGCTTCGAGGGGAGGGGGGTTCCAGGCACTTGACTGCAGGTGGACCCGGGCCCGGGATCAGCACACACAAGGCCCCGAGGCGGCCCGGGGCGGACGCGTGCTGTGGGGAGAGACAGGGGTGTGGGCCACGGGCCGGGCCCCCACACTCCCCAGCTTTCCGTGGGGTACGGTGCTCCCTCCTTCAAAGTGCCCTGGGGTGTGAGCAGCCAGTGCCCGGGAGGGCCTCCCATGGGGCCAGGAGCAGGGGTCAGGGAGACAGCAGCGGGCACCGACCCCTGCTTCAGGCTGAGTGCGGCTGCGTGGGGAGGGGAGCCCCTTGGAGCTGGGGGTGCGGCGGCCGATGTCTGGGCTGATTGGGGAGGGGCCGAGGAGAGGGTCCTGGCCTTCACGGGGTGTGGTGACGCCTCGGGGCCAGCGCCGTCCCCGGCCCTGGCCGTGTCTGTCCCCAGCCTCTTCCTTCCGGAAAAAGCGGGCCTTGCTCTCCCCTGGGGCTCCCTGCCCTCCTCCAGAAAGGAGGCCCTTCCCAGTCCGTCCAGGTGTGGCAGGAAGCCACCCGGCGGCCCCCCCCGGGCGGACACATGCCCCTGCCGTGTCCGTGTGCCACGCCCGTGAGGCCGAGCACACAGAGGGGGCTCCCGACGGGGGCGAGTCTGTGTGTTTTCTGGAAGCTTCCAGCGTGCCAGGCCGCTCGAGGGACCCGACTCGGGGCTGAGGAAAGCCCGGGTTCCGGCCTCCGTCTGCCCGTGCGCCCGTGCGCCCGTGCCCCCGTAGGCCCAGGCGAGGCGGGCCCCGGCAGGTCTGGGGGCAGGGAGGGGCGGGGAGGGGCGGGTCCCGGTGCCGGGCCCGTGCGGGCACAGGCTGTCCGGAGCCGGGAGGAGGCGTGTGGGTGAGCGCCCGGGGCCCGGCTGATAAGCGGTGCCCAGCCTTGGCACCGGCCTCCCCGCCTTCCCGGGGCCGCCGAGGCTGCTCCCCTGCCCCCCGCCCTCGGCGGAGCAGCGCCCCCACTCCCACACCTGTGCAAACATCCGCCCGCCGGCCGGGAAAACGGCCCCTTTGTGCCCAGCTTGGCACCGGTGCCCCAGCCCTCGCCGTCAGCTGCAGCCCCAGCCTCGGCCACCGCGGGCCCTGGCCCGGCCATTGTTCCCGCCGGGCCCTGCGCCTCTGGGCCGCCCCGGGCCCCCCGCCCCCCGGGGCTCCGGGGCAAACGGCTCCCATTCATCGCCGCGGCTGCCCCTGCAGCTGTCGGGGCGGGAGCGGCCCCCGAGCCTTGAGTTATGGGCTGTGTTCCTGGCGCGTCGCGGACAAACAGAGCTCAAGGAAAGCGAGACGGGGCCGGCCCCGACTGGGGCTTTGAAGCCAGTGTGGCGGCCTGTGACTGCGCCCGGCAGTCGCTCCCGACCCGCTCCCGAGGCCCGGCCCCGGTCGCCTCTCCGGGGGGGGGGGGGGGGGGGGGGGGAGGGCGAAGGCTGCTGGCCGTGCTGGGGCAGGGGAGGGTTCCGGTCCCCACACCGGGTCCGCCTCACTCCCCACGGCTGGGCCGGGGGCTGGCCAGAAGCCAGACCCGCTTCTCAGCGTGTCGCGGGCCAGAGCCCGCGAGGGGGCGTCTGGGCCGCGGGAGTCCGGCGGGTGGGTGGGAGAAGGGCTGTGGGTGCCACGGGGGCGGCCCCGGGTGTCCTCAGCACGGAGATCCAGCGGTGTCCGTGGTACGAACGAAGCGCGGACGGGCCCGTGGAGCGGTTCCGTCCGTGGCCCCGAGGACAGTGGCTGTGCCAGGCTCCCGGGGCGGCTGTAACCAAGTCCCGCAGACCGAGGCGCTCAAAGCGTGAGAAACGTGTCCTCCCCCAGTCTGGAGACCAGAAGTCCGACATCAAAGCCTGGGCAGGGCTGCGCCCGCCGCGGAGGCTCTCGGGGAGGGTCCTTCCTGCCCGTGCTAGTTTCCGGGGGGTTCGGGCGTCCCCGCGCTGGTGGCCGCGTCTTCTGCCTCTGGTAAGGACACTTGTCGTTGGCTTGGGACCTGCCTGGATGAATGAAGCAGGACGATCTCAGCTCGGGATCTTAACGTGACCACCTCGACAGAGGCCCTGTTTCCCAAGGCACTCCCGTTCCGAGGGTCTCGCGGACACGAATGTTGGGGGGACGCTATTCCGCAGCCCGGGACCGCCGTGTGCCGGCCAGACTTCACGAGAAGTCCCCTCGCCTCCCCCAGCCCCAGTCCCTAGGTTGTCCAGCGAGGGTGACAGCTCAAAGGCCGCGTGTCTCTCCCCCCCCCCCCCGCCCCCACGCCGGGTGGGGACGCCCGGCTCTGGTGTGCAAGCCCCCTGTTCCCCCAGGTGTGGCGCCCCGTGCCTGGCTGCTGAGGTGTTTGGGGAGGATTTAAGACCTTTTTCTGTGCCCTTGGAACAAAATGCGTTTGTTTGTGTTAAAGTTTGAGTGGAGGGAAAAGCCGTTTTTGCAAACACGGGCTCCTCTGTTTAGCGCCCGGGGGTCTCTAAAATCGGGAGGCTGCTGGGCTCTGTTTACCCCCCGCGTCTAAATTTAGAATTTAGCGCAAAAACGCTGGAAGCCCGTCCCTGCGTTTCAGCCCGACCCTTGCCAGTCTCGGCAGCTGGCGGCTCCAGAGGGGTCCGGGCTCCGGGGCTCCTACATCCTGGTAGTGTGAGGTCACAGGGGTCTGGGGGCTGAGGAAGGGCCTGCGTGAGGACGGGACCCCCCCCCAGACGTCCACGTGCACCTCATCTGAAGCTGGAAAAACCGAGGCCCTGGGCCACCAGGGTGGCAGGCCGGGCCCCCAGCCCAGCGCTCAGACCCCACCCGTTCCAGGCCTCGTTCTCTGCTGGAGCTCTCTGCAAAGCCCGAGAGTGCTGTGCAGCTGGGAAGCGAGGTCCGCAGGACCCCAGGCACAGTCTTGTGCCCGTTAGACATCAGGTAGGGGTGAGAGTGGTGGGCTCTGGGAGCCTTCCCCAGAGAAGGACCCGGACAGTGGGTTTTGCAGGATGCGTAGGAGTGCGCAGGGTGAGCACATCTTCTTGTACTCGCTGTGCACTGGCTGATCCCTGGGGAGGAGTTCTCACGTGACCTGGTGGGCCCGGTGAGGGTGGTACACGGGATTGATTTCTTCTTGGGGCGGGGGGGTCCAGCTCATGTCACTGAGGGTAGGAGCTTTCCAGCTTCGGCCCCAGGGAGAGACACGTGGTCAGCCTCAGGAGACAGGAAGATAGGAAGCTGTGGTCAGCAGCGGGGGGCAGAGCCACCCGTGGAACTGCATCTCAGCTGCACCGCTGACCGCGTGTGCGTCCTGGTGGAGGTTGCCCGACCTCCGTGAGCCCATCTGCAAACTGGGTACAAAATGCGGGCCTCTGCCCACAAACTGTGGGAGAAGTCAAATCAGCGAGGACACGGGAGGTCTGGGGCCCCAGGCGCCGGGCGAGGAGGCAGCGGAGGCGGGCTGCACGTTGTGGGGGCCTGTCACCAGCCCGTGTTCTCTAGGCTTTCCCCAAAGCCAGACGCTTGCGACAGACCCTTAGCAAGCTAACTCACGCTACGGTGTTCATGGCTGCCATCATGCCCCAGTCACACCCCTTAGCCCTTCTGCCTTTGAGGGTCCTGCTCCGCCCCTGACCGGCTCCCCACCTCCAGCACCTTCCTCACAGGATGGCCCCTTTCCGTGCATGTGTTTTGGCCTCCCGGAACCCCAAGGACCCCCACGCTTCTGATCCCCATCCCAGGCCCTGGGCCAGGCCCACCGCAGGGAAGGGGCTCGGGAATGAATGACGCCCTTCATCAGGTGGAGACAAGGAGGGTGGGCCACGGAGTCCGCAGATGCCTCCTCGGCTGCACCGATGAACTGGGTCCGGGGCCAGCGAGCACGCGACTGGTCCGGTCCTCAGTTTCCCCGTCCGTAAGATGGAGGGGCAGCAGAGTGGCTCCGAGGACTGACGTGGGGCTCTCCGCGGGGGCTGCAAGCCCAGGAGGGCAGCAGATGTGTCTGTGGCCCGGAGCGCCAGGGTTTCCGTGAATGGGAAGATACGCTCCCTGAGAGGCTCTGATCTGCGTGGGTCTGGGTTTGTTTATTGAGTCCTTCCCACGGAAAGGAAGCCTGGCCGGGTGGTTCCCTGGCCCCCGCGTGCGTCTGTCCCCTCCACGACCACTTCCCGCCAGCCAGGCTGGGGCCCCACGGGGGGCTGGTGCCGGGCGCACCCTCAGGACAAGCGCCCGAGAAGCCTGCTGCCCGAGGTGTCCCGCCATCCGCCCGGCCCCCCGCTCGGTCTGTGACTCTCCCGTCCCCGGCCGTGTCCTTGCAGCCTCCTCGGGGCAGGCTGGTGGCACAGTGTCCGGCCCGGGGTTTGCTCTGCAGCCTTCCCGGGGTCGTGGGAACGCACCCGCTCAGTCACTGACCAGCGGTGAGGCCTCGTGCACCGTGACTGCCCTCTCAGCCTCAGTCTCCCCCTGGGTGGGATGGGGTCCGGGGTCCCTACCTCACGACACTGTCACAGTCGGCCTGCGGTGCGAGCCCCTGAGTGTACCCGCCAGCGTGGTCCTCACGCCTGCTCGCGGACGGACAGCCATGACGTCTCTGGTGGGCAAGGCCCGTGGGGTGGCCGCGGGCCACCCGCCTCCCCGGCAGGTCGGGGTTTCTGGGCTGGCCCTCCCATCCCGCTGGGGGCCCACAGGGCCTCCCGCGCCAGGGCGGACTGTGTGTGAGGGGAAGCTTCCAGGTGCCTCCTCGTGTGAGCGGGGACACAGAGGCCAGCACGCGCCCCCGCGGCGGCTTCCAGAGGCCGGGGACAGCTCGGTCCCCTGCCCCCACGGGCCTGTCCCTGGGGCCACACGGCCCTGTCCCCGGCGGTCATGCTGGGTCCCCCCACGTTTGCGGGCCCGGACGTGCACATCTGCCCCTGGTGCGCCCCGGTCAGGGGTGCGTGGCAAGGGCTGGGCAGTTAGCACCCTCCCGCAGCTGCCCGTGTCTCTGAATTCGGGAAAAACAAACAGCTCTGCGGGGATGGGCCGTTTCCTCCAAGAGCCGAAGGATGTCGTTAACTTGACAGAGCAAGTCTGTGATGGGGTCTGAGAGGCGTGTGCCCTCCGGGGTGGGGGTGGGGGGATGCCTGGTCGGGCACTCCTGATCTCCGCCGGCCGGCCGGTCCCCAGGAGCCCCAGCACCCCAGACGGCGCAGGGCCAGGGAATGGCACGAGGGGGCCGCCCTGCGGGGCGCGGGTCTGTCTGCTGGGGGAGAGGGTCTCCGGGGACCCTGCCCCACTAGCCCCCAGGGCCGTCCAGGCCGCCCCTGCCCTGCCCGGCCCCCCCCCCCCCCCACCCCGTTCGCTTCCCAGTCAGGGCACATTTTGTTTGTATTTTTATAACCTTCGTATCGATGGTCTTGATGCCTGAGTTTTCCGGTGCCCCCTTGCCCCTGAGTGGGGGGTGCCTTGCTGGCGGCCCCTGCCTCCCCCTGCCTCTCCCCACCCCTCCCTGCCCTGCAGCCATTCCCAAGTTTGTTGGTCTCGGGACTACCTTATGCTCTCGACAATCGCTGCGGAGCCGGGTTATACGACACTCAGCACACAGGCAAACGCGACGGGATTTTAAAAACGTGTCCATATTAATCCATCACAATGTAAGGCCCATCCCGTGTTCTTATAAATAAAATAATTTTGTGAAAAACTGTATTTTCTGAGAGAGGGCTGGCGCGGCGTCTCAGATGCCCTCACCCCGTCCGCAGCCCCAGCTCTGCCTTCGCTCCGAGCACCCGGGCCCTCGGAGCAGGCAGCTGTGGGCCAGGCCTCACACATGGGGCGCAGGCCTTCCGGGGAGGACGGCCCGCAGCCGAGGGGCGGCCCCCGTACCTGCCAGCTGACTGTCAGGCTTGCCCCTGGCTCTGCCCCGCCGGTACCCATGCCGAGGCCCAGGCGTGCGCGGCCCGCGTGCAAGTCCCGGAGCGTGGAGGGCTCGGCGTGGGCACCGGCCCCTCCTTACGTGCCCTCGCTCGTTCCGAGCGTGCGTGAGATGCTCGCACGTGTGTGTGCTGTGCCGCCTGTGTGGGGGGCACGTTTGTGGGCACGCACCCCCCTCCACGGGCTCGGCTGGTCCCTTCGAGGGGCCGGGCAGTAGGCAGCTCAGTGCGCTTGGCGCTCGCGGCGAGATGTGTGGTTTTGAGGGACGGTGACGTCACGGGAGGCCCAGGACCACGGCAGGCGCCCCGGGCCAGGCTCCACAGCGGCCGGCCCCCTCGTGGACGCCCAGCGCTTGTCTGGACCCGCTGCGTGCTGATGCGCTTGCTGGCCTCCTGCGCCGTGGCCCCTCTTGCTGCGAGCGGACACGTGTGTCCCTGCCTGCCTGTGGCCCCTGGGTTCCTCCCTCCATTCCCCGTGGCTGGTGGAAGGCGCCCACCGGGGTCCCGGGACGGACGGCGATGAGGCGGACCTCGCCACTTCCCGCCTGGGCCTCGCTCTCAGTCGGAGTCTGTTAAACGGGCCTCCGGGGCCCCGGCCCTGCGTCCTGCCTTCCTCTGGGACTCCTCCGGGCAGGATGTCAAGTGAAGCCTCCATGCAGACCTTCCTGGTCCTGCCCTGGGCCTGGACTGGAGGCTCCAGAGGGGAGAGGCCGGGCTTCCCAGAACGGACTGGCCGTGACCACCGGGCCGGCACAGGAGGACCTCAAAGGCAGAAGGCCACGTGGCCACTCTGGGCCACCGAGCCTGCTGCCATGCCGTGCCGTGCGGGTGTGAGGCCCCAGGTCCCCGGGCCAGGCTCCTGCAAAGCCCACGGGCGGCCCCAGGCCCCAGACGCCAGGCAGGCGGGGGCCGGGCATGTCGGGGCTGAGTGGTGCAGCCAGGGCGCGTGCTCACGTCCTGCAGGATGTCTATTCAGGCACACGCTGGAGGCCCCGGGGACAAACCTCAGAGGCAATCAGGATGCAAGCCTGGGGGGCGGGGGCGGGGGCGGCCCTGGGCCCGTGGGCCCACCGCAGGCTCTGCCGGTCGGCTCCCCCACCGAGAAGAAGGCTCAAGCTGCGTCTGGTCCTCTCGGAAGAAGGGCGACTGGAACATCTGGCGCCCGGGGCGGCGTCAGGAAGCGAAGCATCATCCCCGTCCGGGCTCCTGGTGCAGGACCAGCCTCAGTGCGCACTTCCGGCCCCCCGGGGGCTGCGGCACGGCGACGTCGGTGGCCCGGGGGTCGGGCCCCCTGGCCGCGTGTCTGATGGCAGGCCCCCTGCGCACGCCCAAGGACCCGCTTCCCGTGAGGCACCGGGTCTGGGGGGCCCCGGCCGTCTGCAGGGCTCGCGCCGGCAGGGGCTGAGCCTGGGCCGTCCCGGTGGTGGCGGCTGGAGCTCCGCGTCTCTGTCGGCAGAGTGGCGGGTTCGGGCCCGACAGTCACCCGTCCCGGGCTCTGGGCCTGACCGCCGCCCCCCTACGCCTCCCGCAGGTCACGGTCACCACCATCGGCTACGGGGACAAGGTGCCCCAGACGTGGGTCGGGAAGACCATTGCCTCCTGCTTCTCTGTGTTTGCCATATCCTTCTTCGCGCTCCCGGCGGTAGGTGCTCCCGCCTCCTCCTGGCTCCCAGGCGGGCAGGGTCCCCCCCGGGAGCAAGGCCACTCACAGAGGCCCCTGGGAGTCCCCTGCCCCTGCTGCTCCAGGAGGGTGCTTTGCAGCAGGTGTGGGTGGAGGCCGGTGGGGTGCGGCCGGCGCATTCGGCCCAAGGGGTCTCGGGGAGACACCGACAGTAGCCGCCAGGCGAGGGCAGAGGCGGAGTCTGTCCGCCTGGTGGGGGCGCTGGTTCCCTTGCGCGGTGGCCTGGGCCCCGCTTTGACCCATGTCCTTCCGAGAAATCACAGATCCCGAGGGCCACACCTTCTAGCTCCCCGAGCGCGTGGAGGTGTACGCGTCACGTGTTTGGTGCACCTGCTGTGTGTGGTGAGCGTGCGTGGGTTGCGTGTGTGCTCTGTGGTCACCTGCGTGTGTCACACGGAGCACGTGTGCATCTATGTGTGTGCGTGATTGATCCCCTCTGTGGACGGGGAGCTCCCTCCCTGACGAGCCGGCCCCATCCATCCCGTTGGCGATCCTGGGGAGGCGGCCGCGGTCCCCCTCGGACGGGGCCGCCTCCTGCCCGAGCCAGCGCCCTGGTGCCGCCCCGTGTCCCCAGCACCTGTGCCCCACAGGCCGGGCCGGGCGGTGGCTGCCTGCGTGGACGCGAGCCCCCGTCTCTGCTCCTTCCCAGGGGATTCTCGGCTCCGGCTTCGCCCTGAAGGTCCAGCAGAAGCAGAGGCAGAAACACTTCAACAGGCAGATCCCGGCCGCAGCCTCCCTCATTCAGGTGACGCGCCGCCGTCCTTGACGTCCGGCCTGGCGCCGGCAGGTTAAGTGCCGGCTGGTGTCCCTTCTGGGAACCAGGAACTACCCTCGGCCACAAAGCTCACGAGACCTTCTTGCTACGGGTCCCTCTGGAACACAGATGAGCCCGTGCTACCACACAGACGTGCTCGGGCCTTCTGGGGAGCGTGGGCGATGCCGACGGGGTGGGCACGGGAACGCGGGGCGCCCACCTCCCTCCCTAGAGGTCCTGTTGGAAGAGTGGGTCCTGGGGGGGCGGGCCAGGGGACAGGGACGTGCCCTGGCCCGTCCCGGGTTGGGGTGAACTTTCTGTGGGCCCCTCACCTTCCAGCCACAGTGGCCTCCTTTTGTGGTCACCCCCCTGCTCGGCACAGGGCGAGTCTGGGAGGGAAATCCCAAGGGTCCAAGGCCCTGCTTGTGTAGCACGGGTACCTCCAGGGTGTTCCCCACATCCCACGGGGCTAGGGACTCCCAGGTGACAGCAGGTGAGGCCTGGCGAGCCGACAGCTCAGCCACGCTCTGGGTTCACAGGCCCCTCAGTACCCAACGGGGACCCCGAGGCCGCTGTGACAAGGCCTGGGTGCTGGAGGAGACAGAGGCTAAGAGTGGCAGGGTAAGGAGGGTGGCCTGGAGCCCCTGGATGCTCAGTTCTGTGACCCCAGCCTTCCAGATACACCAGAGAATGGCTGACTCTTAATTTAGCGCAACAAAGACTTAGGCCGAAAACCGGGTCCCAGACGGTTACCAGCCCCCGCCCGGGGGCAGAGCAGGGATGAGCGGGCCCAGGTCTCGCCCGGGGAGCAGCTGGGCGGGGGTCCTGGGGCACAGGCTCTATGGGTGTCCAGCCGTAGATGTGGGGCCCTCTGCCCAGCGGGACAGCCACACCCAGTGCCGAATGCCCCTCAGGGACGGTCCTGGGGTCACCCCCGGGGCCCTGGTCTCCTTCGCCATCCGCCCCGGGCAGGGCCCCCTGCACAGGCAGCAGCCACCAGGTTTCGCTCAGCCAGGGGCGCCCCCTCATTCCTCTGAAGCCCTTCCGGACCCTTCCGGAACCCACCGTCTGGGGCCTGGACGGTGGACCTGGACGGGAAGGAAGTAGCAGCCGCAGCCATAAAGCCGAGGGGCCGGGCCCCCTCAGGCCTGGTTTTACGGCCCACAGCTTCTCCTTTCGGGGAGACCATAAATCAGGCCCGTAAAACCAGCCCAGGCCGCCGTGGGCAGGCTGCCGGCGGGAGGGGAGCACGGCGGGGTCCTGGCGGAGCCGGTGCTTGGGGGTGAGCACCCCTGCGAAGCCCGGGCTCGGGTGCTGAGCCCAAGGGGTGCGGACACGTCCGCCACGGCAGGACTGGGGCCCGGAGGAGGGAACGCGGACCAGACCCGGGTGGGAAGCGGGCGGCGGCCTTACGTTTGTGGGGATGGTGGGACACGGAGGTGGCACGTGGCCGTGGAGGGGCCAGGCCTGTGGCCGTCCCCTGAGCGACCCGGGCAGGGAGGGCTGCTGTGTCTGTCCAGGTCCCCATCCTGGGTGGTGTCACGGCCTCCCACGAACCCTGCCAGCTCCCCTGTCTGCTCCCCGCTGTCCGTCCCCTGCTGCCTACCCGGACACAGCGTGTCCTCCACTCGGATCCCGTGCAGTGGTGTCCCCTCCTCCGGGTCGTTCCTGTGTGGCAGTCGCCACGGGCATCTCTCTAGGATGCGGGTCCAGAGCTCCCCACGGCGGCAGGCCATGCCCGGGCTCCGGGACCCAATATGTGGGCCTCTGGGAGGGGCCCGCCCCCCCACGTCACCCCACGCCCCCTGCCCCCCTGCCCGGTGTCCCACAGGCCCCGGGTGTCCTCGGTGTCTGTGTCCGTCCCTGCACCCGCCGTGCGTGCCCCGGGGAGAGGCGGCCGAAGGGTGTCTGCGTCTGCGGGTGGGGCCTCCGTGGCGCCCGAGCCATGGGCACCGGCCTGTGGGTTAGGCCGTGAGCCGCCTGGCGCGGGAGCAGCCCCGGGAGGTGGGGGGGCTGGCACGCAGGCCAGGGTGCGGGCGGGCCCGGCGGCTGACCGTGTCTCCCTGTGCTTGTTCAGACGGCCTGGAGGTGCTATGCGGCCGAGAACCCCGAGTCCTCCACCTGGAACATCTACGTCCGGAAACCCACCCGGAGCCACACTCTGCTGTCCCCCAGCCCCAAGCCCAAGAAGTCCGTCATGGTAACAGCCCCCACCTGCCTCCTGCAGGGATCCCTCGTGAGCGGGGGTGGGGTGGGGTGGGGTGTGGTGGGGGGGTGGGGAGGCCCTGGGCGCCACGGCTGCTGGCCGGGGTTCGGCCCTGGCGTTTCAGCGGCGCCACATCAGGACACTGGTGCCACTCACTCTGGGCCCTGGGGGTGGGCACCTGTGCTGGGTCCTGCCACCTGGGGGTCCCCCTGGCTCAGGGCCACGTAGGGCTGGTGCTCCCAGGCCCGGACTGTGGGAGGCCCACAGGGGGCGCCCCCGGGAACAGGCCGGGCTGGGTTCTGGCCAGAGGTTGGGAACAAGGCTCTTGAGAGGGCCCTGATGTCAGGCTTTCTGTGCCGGGGACAGCGGGTGCCGGTCAGGACGGAGGTCTCTCCCCAGCTCGGGGAAGTCAGTCTTCGGGTCGTGGTGCAGGGGGCTCGGGTAGGCTCTGAGCAAGAGTGTCACGATGGGGCCGGTGTGGGGACTGAGGGGGGCACCCAGGCCTCCCGTTGCCAGCCGCCCCTGACGCCTCTGCACTCGCTGTGCCCTTGCCAAACGCCCTCACCAGCTCCCACAGCTCCTCCTCCATGTCACCTTTGCCGGCCCCAGGCTGTCCCCCCGATGGCCCCCACCGCGTGCCGGAACTCCCGGTGGCCACAGCCCTAGTCCCCACGTGCCCGCTTGTATGTTTACCTGCCCGGTTTCCTGTCTGCCGGCCCCTTCAGCCCGAGCCCCCAGGCAGCGCCTGTGCCAAGCCCCCCCCCCCCCACACAGCCCCCCCCACAGCACCCCTGTCTGCTGGCCCTGAGGCCTGGCTCCCTGGCTGGTGCCCTTGGGGGCTGCTAAGGGGTTCTGGGGCTGGGGACCCCCAGGAAGTGCCAGCTTAGTGCTTGTGGTCTTAGGTAAAGAAGAAGAAGTTCAAACTGGACAAGGACAACGGGGTGAGTCCCGGAGAGAAGACGCTCACAGTCCCCCACATCACATGCGAGCCCGTGTCAGAAAAGCGGAGGCCAGACCACTTCTCCGTGGACACCTGCGACAGCTCTGGTGAGGAGCCTTCGCCCAGGGTGGCGGTGTGGGGACGGGGACGGGCGCTCAGCTCCCACTGACCTGGCGTCTGCCTGCCAAGGCCCTGCCCTCCCCCCACAGACCCCACCCCGGAGGGACCCTTCCTCCGGCTCTGTTGCGGGCTCTGGGCTGCGGGTGCCGGGCCCCGCCTCGGTCCCGCTGTGCGGCCGGCGCCCCGTGCCGGGCAGAAGGGAGGTGGCCCATGTGTGCGGACCCCCCGTTCTTGGTGGGGGGGGAGGGGGCCGGGCGTCCCGAGCCAGCGCTGCGTGCCCGCGTCTGTCCTCGACGCCGCGTGCCTTGTGCGTCACCGCCCTGTGGGTCTCTCCCTCCTTGGACCTCTTCCCGGCACCCACCAGAACGTGCTGGCACATTGACGGTCGGGAGGGCAGCGTCACTGTCTTAGACGTGGCAGAAGGGGGACAAGCGTATATTGTTCCTGACCCTTTGTGCTTAAGGGCGCCTGGCCCGCCAAGTGCTTGGTTCTCGGGCGGCTGACCCCCGGTGTTTCCTCTCGCATTTGGTCACAGTCCCCTGGAAGAAGGGCAGAAAGTGTTCCGGGAAAGGGCTGCGGCTGCTGCCTGCTCCTTGGGGCTGTCGGTGGACCGGGCGGGGGCGCCCACCCCGCCGGGCACCGGGCCACCGTGGCCCCGTCGCAGGCGGTTGGGATTCCGCTCTGGCCTGAATTTGGCCACATCGCTGGTGAGCCCCCGGGACGCGCTCCCCGCCGCCCCCCGGAGTGGGCACAAGGAACAATTGTGCCAACGAGTGCCCGGCGGCCCCCCCAACTCCGGATTCAGGGGCAGGACCATTGTCGCGATGCAAATGGGGGCTCTCTGCAAATGCTAATGGGCAGGTCGGGGTGGGTAGAAGCCTCTCGTGCTGTTTGCTGCGTGTGGAACTGTCCATTCAGCCTTCTTGCTGTTATTAAGTGCCCAGTGCCGCCTGCAGAATGTTAATGAGGCACCAGTGCAGGGACAGTCAGGCACCCTTTGTGGGGTGCTTTCGCAGGGACTTTTCCTTTCCTGCCAGCACGAGTCAGCCCAGCCCGGAGCCGCTGTGTTTCTGGGGCCTCCGCCGTGGGCCCCGAGTGGCCCCCAGCCTCCGGGCGGTACCCGGGGCCCTCGAGAGCCCTGGTCGGGGGAGAGGGGGCCTCATCCCGGCCAGGGCCCGCAGCCCCAGCCCCCACATGGCAGGGCGCAAGCAGCCACGCTGAGAGTACCCCCCCCCCCCCCCCCCCGGCCGCACCGAGGCCTGACGCCCGAGCCTCATGCCGCACCCCTGCACACCCCGCCCTCCAGGCTCCCGTCCGCATTTCTCATGCAGGTTCCAGCCCCCGGCTGCTCACGCTGTCCTGGTCGTCGGGACCCTGCTCCGTGCGCGTGAGGGTGAGGCCCCGGGGCGAGGCGGACCTTGGCATCAGGGAGGAAGACGCGCGGGCGTCTGGGGCACGAGCACCCGGCTCGGCCTGGTTGGGCCCGCAGGCTTCCTGGAGGAGGTGGTGTTAATGCTGAGTACAGCTGGCCGGGGAGGGGAAGGGAGGATCAGCGGCTGTGATGGAGTTGCCGTGGGGGGAGCAGTCGTGCTTCTGGGTGGGATCACGTCGTCACCCCCCACCCCCGCCCCGGGCCCGCCACCTGCACACCTCAGGTGTGGTGGGTGTGGGGCCTCCCTCCTATGGAGAGGCCCACGTGGGCTCCTGCCGTGCCGACCCTCCTTCCTAAGACGGGAGCGGTGCCCAGGAGCCTGCGGGTGTCGGACGGGCGCTGGGAGTCCACGGGGCAGGCGTGGCTGCGGGCAGCCCTGTGCCCTCTGAGGCTTGCCCAGGAATGGCACGGATGGGGACGGGGCAGCGCCTGGAGTGACGTGGTGGCTGTGGGGCTGGGGGTCAGAGGAGTCAAGGCCAGCGGGAGGAGCTCCCGAAGACCCGGGCAGCCTGGGGGCGACCCCTGAGGGCAGGCGGGCCGTGAGGCGCTGGGGGCACCCTCACTTCCGTCTCAAGGTGGTCAGAGCCGACCGAGTCCCCAGCCTGCGTGGGGCCTGCCGCTCACGAGCCCGATTCGGGGGACGCAGTCTGCGGCCCCACCCGCCGGGGCCTGGCCTGTCGCCCTCCCCTCGGGTGGCGGCCCTCACAGGACTATGTGCCCCGGATCCCACCCCACCCCCCTCACACGCCGCCCCTGCCCCGTGTCTTGCCCTTGTGAATCCCCTGAATCCGTGGCTTGTTGGGTTCGTGGACACTTGCCGATATTTACCAGCAGATCCGTCGGATTCCGTCTCGGGGTTTAACATCCTTCTTCCTGGAGGCCCTTCGGCGGTTCCTTCAGTGACGGTCTGTTGGGGGTCAACCCGGTCTTTGCCCCGAGCCTCCGTGTTCCGACTTTGCTGTCGGATGGGGCTCTAGCTGGGGGAAGGTTCCAGGTTGAGATACGTATTCTCTGCGAACGCTCGGCAGGCGCGTTGTCCAGCTGTGCGGCCGCCCTCGGGAGTGGCCCGGCCCCCTCTGGAGACTTCGAGGGCCTTCCCTTGGACGTCGGTGCTGGGTAGTTCCAGGATGGTGACCCAGGGCGGTGCATTATCTCTGTTCGTCCCCCTGTGGTTTGCTGCTGTGACAAACCTGCGGGTTTGTGTCTTTCATCCGGTGTGGAAAGTTAGCACGGTCCCGTCACAGGTTACCGCCTCCCCTAAATGCTCTGACCTGCCCCCGAAACGCCTGCCTGACCCCCGCGTCCTGGCCCCCCGGGCCGTCTCTGCTATTTTCCTGCTCAGTCTCCCTGCACTGCATTCTAGCAGCTTCCTTCCAGTTTGCCAACTGTGCCGCTGTGTCTAACCCACGGGTTAATCCACCCGCCGAGATGTTAGTTTCCGTTACTTCTGCGCCTCCGCGTGTGAGGGCGTCATCTGCTTGGCCTGTGTCTTCCTCATGACTTACACCTTGGAATTTCCGAGTCATTTGAACACACTCATTCCGTCACCAGGGTGACGTCACGTCACCATCCGCGGTTCTCGGAGAGTCTAACTCTGCTCCCTGTAGCTCCCCCAACTTTTTCCCACGACGGCTTGTTTCCCCGTGGGTCTGTAAGCGTGGGCTCCTTCTCGTGGGCCCCCCCCCACCGTGCACCCTGTTGAGGGGACGCCTCTCTGGAGAAGCTGTCCCTTGTGCAGGGTGACCCCGTGAACCTGTGCAGAACATTTGTGGTGCGAGTTTATAGGCATGGGGTTTTCTAGACGACCGTGAGGGGTCAATGCAAACCCAGCCTCTTGTCAGAACGAGCCTGTCCCCACGTATCAGGGGGAGGCTTTTTACTTTTATTCCGAGAAAACAGGCCAACACCAACGAATTTTCATTTTTCTCCGCATTTGCCAGTGCGCGGGCTGGTTCGCTGGCTTCTGTCTCGCTTTGTGCGTGTGATTTGAGTGCACCCTCCCCCCGTCCCTCATCCAGTCCACACCGTGGCTCCTGGCGTGAGCGGACGCCGTGCTGCCCGCACACGGCCGCCGTTCCAGAGGCGGCTTCACTCCTGGCCCTTGGGGACGCCCCCCGTGGAGCCCATAGGAGACGTTTGCTCGTTCCAATGAGCTCGTTTGGGAGTTCATAGAGAGAGGCCTTTGACGAAACCAGGTCTACTCATTGCCGAAATCCAGGTCCTCGTCCTGGCGACAGAGTGTCCCCAGCAAGGGAAGCCCTGAGCTCCTCAACGGCAGAGGGCTGGACAGTGACACTCCGGGTTGGAACTTCCCTGGGGGGGTCCCTCGAATCACGAGGAGAGTTTTAACACAGACCCGGGCTGCCCCCACTGAGATTTCAGGTCCCAGGGTGTGCGGGGAGGCCCAGGGGGCGTGTCCGTAACGAGTCCCCAGGTTACTCTGGGCGCTGTCCCTGTGACCCTGAGGATGAGGCCGGGCACCGGGCTTCTGTGGCTTCTGGGGCGGCCTCACCTGGGTTGGAGGAGAAGGTCCTCGTTTGGGGCCCCCACCTGGCCCCCGCACCGGGCTTCGGGTTGGCCGTTCATTATAATGGCTCTCTGTCGATAGAAGAGAGGGAGGGTCTTGGTAAAGACCACCCCGAGTCAGCTGCAGCTGACACACATAGCGAGGAAAGACGGGCTGCTGTCCCCTGCAGTCGGGATCTTGGCGAGGATGCCTGCTCTTATCAGTTCTGCTCCGCCTCAGCCTGGAGGTTCTAGCCTGCAGGACGGTCCAGAAGCAGAAATTCCGGGCGGACGGTCCAGAGGCGGAAACCCCGGGCGCCCAGGCTGGGAAGGAGCACGTGAGTGGAGCCGGGTCAACACTCAAACGTCACGTCTACATCTGTGTTCCGGCAGCCCGTAATCTGAGGTCGACAGCATTTACGGTAACCGAAATCATGGCATCCTGGGGCGCCTGGGTGGCTCAGTCGGTGGAGCATCCGACTTCGGCTCAGGTCACGATCTCGCGGTTGATGAGTTCGAGCCCCGCGTCAGGCCCTGTGCTGACGGCCCGGAGCCTGGAGCCCGCTTCGGATTCTGTGTCTCCCTCTCTGTCTGCCCCTCCCGCACTCACGCTCTGTCTCTCAAAATAAATAAATAAACATCTAAAAAAATTTCAAGATTTATATGAAAAGCAGGCCGGGTTTGAACATTCACCCAAGAAGATGTACAGATAAGCACGTGAGGCTGTATTCAGCACCATCAGTTATTAGGGAAGCGCAAACTAAAACCACAATGAGATGTTACTACGCAATTATATTGGCTACAATTAAGAACGTTTTACCGCGTGTCGTGGTTTCACGAGGGAAGCTTCCGTCACTCCCACGAGTGCTGCCCAGGACGCGGGCACCGAGCCCTTCACGCGCTCCCGCTGGACACTCGAACGGCACAGCTGCTCTAGAGAACAGGCTGCGAGTTTCTGAGAACATTATGTGTGCACCTGCCGTATTATCCAGCCATTCCGTTCCTGAATGAGCATCCAGGAGGAAAAAGAACAGAGAGCAGACGTGTATA